ATATGTGGTATACAAAGTTCTGAATGATTCTTTACACAAGTTTCTGAATGCCGTTCGTATGTTGGCCAGCCTGGCATATGCCGCTGATGTTATCCGCTTGATATGTGCTGCAGGAGACAGGTCTGGCGTGATATCAACCCCCAAGTCTTTTTCCTTCTCTGACTCCTGAAGAATTTCCTCTCCCAGATGATACCTTGTATCTGGCCTCCTGCTCCCTACACCTATCTTCATTACATTACATTTGGTTGGGTTAAACTCTAACAACCATTTGTTCGACCATTCCTTCAGCTTGTCTAGGTCTTCTTGAAGCCTCAAACAGTCCTCTTCTGTTTTAATCCTTCTCATAATTTTAGCATCGTCCGCAAACATTGAGAGAAATGAATCGATACCCTCCGGGAGATCATTTACATATATCAGAAACAAGATAGGACCGAGTACAGAGCCCTGTGGGACTCCACTGGTGACTTCACGCCAATCGGAGGTCTCACCCCTCACCGTAACTCTCTGCTTCCTATTGCTTAGATACTCCCTTATCCACTGGAGCACCTTACCAGCTACACCTGCCTGTCTCTCCAGCTTATGTACCAGCCTCTTATGCGGTACTGTGTCAAAGGCTTTCCGACAATCCAAGAAAATGCAGTCCGCCCAGCCCTCTCTTTCTTGCTTAATCTGTGTCACCTGATCGTAGAATTCTATCAAGCCTGTAAGGCAAGATTTACCCTCCCTGAATCCATGTTGGCGATTTGTCACGAAGTCCCTTCTCTCCAGATGTGTTACCAGGTTTTTTCTCACGATCTTCTCCATCACCTTGCATGGTATACAAGTCAAGGACACTGGCCTGTAGTTCAGTGCCTCTTGTCTGTCGCCCTTTTTGTATATTGGGACCACATTCGCCGTCTTCCATATTTCTGGTAGGTCTCCCGTCTCTAGTGACTTACTATACACTATGGAGAGTGGCAAGCAAAGTGCCTCTGCACACTCTTTCAGTACCCATGGTGAGATCCCATCTGGACCAACAGCCTTTCTAACATCCAGATCCAGCAGGTGTCTCTTGACCTCCTCTCTCGTAATTTCGAACTCCTCCAAGGCCGCCTGGTTTACCTCCCTTTCTCCTAGCACAGTGACCTCACCCTGTTCTATTGTGAAGACCTCCTGGAACCTCTTGTTGAGTTCCTCACACACCTCTCTGTCATTCTCTGTATACCTGTCCTCGCCTGTTCTAAGTTTCAATACCTGTTCTTTCACTGTTGTTTTCCTTCTGATGTGACTGTGGAGTAGCTTTGGTTCGGTCTTGGCTTTGTTTGCTATATCATTTTCAAAATTTTTCTCTGCTTCTCTTCTCACCCTGACGTACTCATTCCTGGTTCTCTGGTATCTCTCTCTGCTTTCTGGTGTTCTGTTATTCCGGAAGTTCCTCCACGCCCTTTTGTTCAGTTTCTTCGCTTCCATACATGCCCTATTATACCATGGATTCTTCTGTTGCTTCTCGGATTTTTCCCTTTGGGCCGGGATGAACCTGTTTACTGCCTCCTGACACTTTTGGGTAACATAGTCCATCATACCCTGTACAGACTTGTCTCTGAGGTCTGTGTCCCAAGGTATTTCACTTAGGAAACTTCTCATCTGTTCATAATTCCCCTTTCGGTATGCCAGCCTTTTGATTCCTAGTTCTTTTTGGGGGGAGATAAGTCCTAGCTCTACCAGGTACTCAAAGTTCAATACACTGTGGTCACTCATTCCCAAGGGCGCTTCCATCTTAACTTCCCTTATATCCCATTCATTTAGGGTAAATATCAAATCAAGCATTGCTGGTTCATCTTCTCCTCTCATTCTTGTTGGTTCTTTGGTGTGCTGGCTTAGAAAGTTTCTTGTTGCCACGTCCAGCAGCTTAGCTCTCCATGTTTCTGGTCCTCCATGCGGGTCTCTGTTCTTCCAATCTATCTTCCCATGGTTGAAGTCTCCCATAATTAGTAGTCCAGATCCATTCCTGCTAGCAACAGAAGCTGCTCTTTCTATTATGTTAATGGTGGCCATGTTGTTTCTATCATATTCCTGTCTAGGTCTTCTGTCATTTGGTGGTGGATTATATATGACTGCGACTATAATTTTTTTCCCTCCATTTGTTACAGTACCTGCTATGTAGTCACTGAAACCTTCACAGCCCTGAATATCCATCTCCTCAAAATCCCAGCCTTTTCTTACCAGCAGAGCTACACCACCCCCACCTCTTCCTTCCCTCTCTTTCCTCATAACATAATAGTCCTGTGGGAACACTGCATTTGTTATTGTTTTCGTGATCTTTGTTTCTGTGAGGGCTATTCCCTCTCACAGCCATTTCTGACCAGAATATGTACATCACCCTACCTCTTTTCCCCTTTTTTATAACATAATGTCCATCAACACCTGTCAATTCCCTTGAGGATCTGTGAATCACTCCTCATGTACCCCTAACTCATTTCTGTCTTCCAACTATGTGAGGTTTGCCTTCCCGTATTTTCTTCTATCCCTCGTGAGTTCTCTGGTGGGGGACCTCTCCATGGGTATGAGGTGTGAGGTGGTGTGTGGGTGAGGGGCAGGGGTGTGTGTGTGTGTGTGTGTGTGTGTGTGTGTGTGTGTGTGTGTGTGTGTGTGTGTGTAACTGTGTGTGTGTACTCACCTATTTGTGCTTGCGGGGGTTGAGCTTTGGCTCTTTGGTCCCGCCTCTCAACTGTCAATCAACTGGTGTACAGATTCCTGAGCCTACTGGGCTCTATCATATCTACATTTGAAACTGTGTATGGAGTCAGCCTCCACCACATCACTGCCTAGTGCATTCCATCCGTTAACTACTCTGACACTGAAAAAGTTCCTTCTAACGTCTCTGTGGCTCATGTGGGTACTCAGTTTCCACCTGTGTCCCCTTGTTCGCGTCCCACCAGTGTTGAATAGTTTATCCTTGTTTACCCGGTCGATTCCTCTGAGGATTTTGTAGGTTGTGATCATGTCTCCCCTTACTCTTCTGTCTTCCAGTGTCGTAAGGTGCATTTCCCGCAGCCTTTCCTCGTAACTCATGCCTCTTAGTTCTGGGACTAGTCTAGTGGCATACCTTTGGACTTTTTCCAGCTTCGTCTTGTGCTTGACAAGGTACGGGCTCCATGCTGGGGCCGCATACTCCAGGATTGGTCTTACATATGTGGTGTACAAGATTCTGAATGATTCCTTACACAGGTTCCTGAACGCTGTTCTGATGTTAGCCAGCCTCGCATATGCCGCAGACGTTATTCTTTTTATGTGGGCTTCAGGAGACAGGTTTGGTGTGATATCAACTCCTAGATCTTTCTCTCTGTTCGTTTCATTAAGTACTTCATCTCCTATTCTGTATCCTGTGTTTGGCCTCCTATTTCCACTGCCTAGTTTCATTACTTTGCATTTACTCGGGTTGAACTTCAACAGCCATTTGTTGGACCATTCACTCAGTCTGTCTAGGTCATCTTGTAGCCTCCTACTATCGTCCTCAGTTTCAATCCTCCTCATAATTTTTGCATCATCGGCAAACATTGAGAGAAACGATTCTATACCCTCTGGAAGATCATTTACATATATCAGAAACAGTATAGGTCCAAGGACTGACCCCTGCGGTACTCCACTCGTAACGTCTCGCCAATCTGAGACCTCACCCCTCACACTGACTCGTTGTCTCCTGTTACTTAGGTACTCCTGTATCCAACGGAGTACCTTCCCTTTCACTCCAGCCTGCATCTCCAATTTTTTCACTAGCCTCTTGTGTGGCACTGTATCAAAGGCTTTCTGACAATCCAAAAATATGCAGTCTGCCCACCCTTCTCTTTCTTGCCTTATTTTTGTTGCCTGGTCGTAGAATTCAAGTAACCCTGTGAGGCAGGACCTGCCATCCCTGAATCCATGTTGATGCTGTGTTACAAAGTTCTTTCGCTCCAGGTGCTCCACTAGCTTTCTTCGCACAATCTTCTCCATCATCTTGCATGGTATGCAGGTTAGGGACACTGGCCTGTAATTCAGTGCCTCCTGTCTATCCCCTTTCTTGTATATCGGGACTACGTTAGCTGCTTTCCAAATTTCTGGCAGTTCCCCTGTTGCCAGTGATTTGTTATACACCATGGAGAGCGGGAGGCACAGTTCTTCTGCTCCTTCCTTTAGTATCCAAGGGGAGATTCCATTTGGGCCTATAGCCTTTGTCACATCCAATTCTAGTAAACACTTCCTTACTTCCCCGCAGGTAATCTCAAACTCTTCCAGTGGTTCCTGGTTAGCTATTCCCTCTCTTATCTCCGGGATTTCTCCTTGCTGTGTGTGTGTGTGTGTGTGTGTGTGTGTGTGTGTGTGTGTGTGTGTGTGTGTGTGTGTGTGTGTGTCAATGACACATTGTGTGCAACCACACTGTTGTTCTACTGTTCCTACTGTTCAATGTAGATATCAGAGGTATAAAAATGCAGTATAAAACCCTTCATCTTTTACTTTAACATAACATAAAACAATAACATGAATCATCAATTACAATTTTGTTACCTTAATCCCAACACAATTCTGCATTGACGAAGAATATGCTAACGATTCAAAGGCTTGAACGATCCTCCGGCTCTTCCCTCTACTCCTCCTTACTGCCCCTTCAGTAGACACCTCGATAGGCAAGGTGGGTGATGAGAGGCAATACAACTTTTTTTTGCTAAACTATTAACCGGGAGATGCATACGTGTACGTATTTACATAAGATTATGTACATGTACCAAAATACACTAGACTCAAGCAAAGTGAATTAGGATAGAGGCTTTCCAGTGGGTTTGGTTAGAGGTGCAAAAAAAATGGGCTTTGAAGAGGTTTTTGAAACTAACCAAAAAAGTTCTGAACCCTGAACAATGTGTACAAGTTGCCAAAATTTAGTTTAAAGATTTATATTTATGTATGACTTAAGAATACTTGATATTTTTAAATAATGTTTAGTGTTGGTGTAATCTTAGCATGTTCTCAGTATTATTATTCAACAGTTGCTGCCAGCCAGTGTCAATATGGTGTGACATGGTCACCAGTGGGGGTGGCTGGACGGTTGCACTCTCTCGCGGACCTCAGCTTGTGCCTGAAAACTTTGCTCGCCTCTGGGACGACTACAAGTCTGGCTTTGGTAATCCGAATCGTGAGTACTGGATAGGTAAGTTCACTGTGAAGCAAAGAACTGTCACATACGCAAAGGTTTCAGTGCTCAGTCATTACCTTACAATGACCATCTAATCACATCATTACTTTCAGAATTAATATAATTACTAGATGTTTTATTTGTCTGTGCGCTGATTGATCAGGGGGTTCGGATCTTTCCCATGCACCTCCTCATCTTCACCTACACCTACACCCTCACCTGACTCACCCCGTTGTTGTAACAATCTTCAATACACAATGTCTGAATCACTGTAATCATCCTCACCAACGACTTCATTCCCCTCCCCATGTCTTCCTAACAACCCTCTCTACGCATTCTCACATAAATTTCCTTTCTCTCAGCTATTGAGAGAATCTACAACACACTCTATTGTCTCTTCTCTCTCACTTTCATCAAGCACCTTTCCTCAGTCTCTTTCATTAAAGAAATAAATCACTCCTCCACCTCCCAGCAAGCAGTGTTAGTCTGTCACAGCGGACTTGGAAAGTTTTTGAAAGCTGTGACAACATTCGTCTTAAGTTTTTGATACGTTTTTGTGTGGAGTCGGGAGGAAGGGAAGGAAGGAAAGGGAGGAAGGGAGCTGGCGGCTGAGCAGACAGAACACTAGACGCATGATCCTGTGGTCCCGGGTTCGATCCCGGGCGCCGGTGAGAAAAAAGGGGCAGAGTTTCTTTCACTCTGATGCCCCTGTTACCTAGCAGTAAATAGGTACCTGGGAGTTAGTCAGCTGTCACGGGCTGCTTCCTAGGGGTGGAGGCCTGGTCGAGGACCGGGCCGCGGGGACACTAAAGCCCCGAAATCATCTCAAGATAACCTCAAGAAGATAGTCGTAAATAGGTTGCCACCACCTACTGCACAATGTAGGGTAAACACAAAATTGAGACCTTGTGGCAACCTTAAAAGTTACATAAAAGTCGTTTCTTTTATAGAGGGTATATATAGAAAATGAATATATGACCAATATTAGTACAGTAGATATATAACACGAGTGTAATAAAAGTTGTTAAAAATCTTTAAGTCGTTTCATTATTTTCACTTAATGCAAAATTCGTGGTTGTGGTGGTTGTTGCTGGTGGCATTGGTAGTAGATGGCTGTGGTTGATGGAAGTGGTGGTAGATCGTAGTGGCTGGTGTCAGTGCTGGAAGATGGTCATGGTTAGTGGCAGTGTTGGAAGATGGTTGTGGTTGGTGGCTGTGTTGGTAGATGGTTGTGGTTGGTGGTAGTGCTGGTAGATGGTTGTGGTTGATAACAGTGTTGGTAGATGGTTGTGGTTGGTGGTAGTGTTGGTAGATGGTCATGGTTAGTGGCAGTGTTGGAAGATGGTTGTGGTTGGTGGCTGTGTTGGTAGATGCTTGTGGTTGGTGGTAGTGTTGGTAGATGCTTGTGGTTGGTGGCTGTGTTGGTAGATGCTTGTGGTTGGTGGCTGTGTTGGTAGATGCTTGTGGTTGGTGGTAGTGTTGGTAGATGCTTGTGGTTGGTGGCTGTGTTGGTAGATGCTTGTGGTTGGTGGCTGTGTTGGTAGATGCTTGTGGTTGGTGGTAGTGTTGGTAGATAGTTGTGGTTGGTGGTAGTGCTGGTAGATGGTTGTGGTTGATGACAGTGTTGGTAGACGGTTGTGGTTGGTGGTAGTGTTGGAAGATGGTTGTGGTTGGTGGTAGTGTTGGTAGATAGTTGTGGTTGGTGGTAGTGCTGGTAGATGGTTGTGGTTGGTGGTAGTGCTGGTAGATGGTTGTGGTTGGTGGTAGTGCTGGTAGATGGTTGTGGTTGGTGGTAGTGCTGGTAGATGGTTGTGGTTGGTGGTAGTGCTGGTAGATGGTTGTGGTTGATGACAGTGTTGGTAGATGGTTGTGGTTGGTGGCAGTGTTGGAAGATAGTCATGTTGGTGACTGTTGCTAGATAGTTGTGGCTGATGACAGTGTTGGTATGAGACCAGTTTTAGAGTATGCCGCGCCATCATGGAGACCCCACCTGAAGAAATACATAAGGAAACTGGAAAACGTTCAGAAGTTTGCGACGAGGCTCGTCCCAGAGTTACGAGGGATGGGGGATATGAAGAGCGCCTGAAAGAAGTGAACCTTACGACAATGGAAAAGAGAAGGGAGAGGAGAGATAGCATAAGAACGAATAAAATACTCAAGGAAATTGACAGAGTGGAAATAGTAGAAATGTTCACACGGAATACTAACAGAACGACTAGACATGGTTGAAGCTGGAAACTCAGATGAGTCACAGAAATGTTAGGAAGTTTTCTTTTAACATGAGAGTAGTGGAAAAAATGGAATGCACTTAAGAAGAAGCAAACTCTATTCATAATTTTAAAACTAGGTATGATAGGGAAATAGGACCAGAGTCATTGCTGAAAACAACCGATGGCAAGAAAGGCGGGATCCATGAGTCAATGCTCGATCTTGCAGGCACAAATAGGTGAGTACACACACCTAGCTATACTTGTCTAGCTGTGCCCACATAGATGTACTCATCTAGTTTTACTCACCAAGCTGTACTCATCTAGTTCTATTCACCTAGTACAGCTCCCCTAGCTGTACTCACCTTGCTGTACCCACCTAGTTGTGCTCATCTTGTTGCACTCATCTAATTGTACACACTTAGTCGTAGTCACCTAGCTGTACTCACCAAGCTGTACTCACGTAGCTGTACTCACCTAGCTGTACTCATGAAGCTGTTCTCGCCTAGTTGTACTATCCTAGTTGTACTAACTTAGATTTACTCATCTTACTGTACTTACCGAGCGGTATTCACCTACCTGTGCTCACCTAACTGTAATCACCAAACTGTACAAACATAATTGTACTCACCTAGCTGTACTCACCTAGGTGTACTCACCTAGGTGTACTCATCTAGTTGTACTCATTTAGCTGTATTCTCCTAGCTATCTTAACCTAGCTATACTAACCTGGCTGTAATAACCTAGTTGAACTCTCCTACTTGTATTCACCTTGCTGTACCTGTACTCATCTAGTTGCACTGATCTAGTTGTACTGTACAGATACTCATGTAGCTGTACTCATCTAGTTGTACTCACCTAGCTGAACTCATGTACCTGTACTCACCTAGATGTAGTTACCTATTTGTATTAACCAGCTACCTGTACTTAACATAGCTGTACTCACTTACTGATTCTCATATAGATATACTCATCTAGTTGTACTCAACTAGTTGTACTTACACTGATAGAAATCACCAACTTCTATTCACTTTGAAGTATTCATCTAGTTGTACTAAGCTCATTGTATTTACCTACTTGTACTTCTCTAGTTGTACTCACCTACTTCCAATTACTCCCCCTAGCTCTACCCGTGTAATTGTACTCACCTATTTGTATTCTCCTAACAGTGCTCAAGTTGTACTAACCTACATGTACTCCCTCTAGTTGTACTCGAGTAGTTGTATTCACCTAGTTGTACTCTCCTAGTTACACTCATGTAGTCGTACTAACCTAGTTGTACTCACCTACTTGTACCCTCCTAGTTGCAGTCATGTAGTTGTGCTCATTGAGTTGTTGTCACCCATTTGTGATTATTATAAAATCTGTTATAATGTAGATGTATAATAAAGAGGTATTGATGCACCTTAATATTTTTTATTAGATTAAATGTTGTGTGTGTTCTTCAGTTACCTATGAAACAATATTTCCAATTTATGTTAATGTTTTTTACATAAAGTACATATTTATAATTTATATAACATTTTTAAACATGAACACGGTATTATATAATGTATATAAGTTAGCAAATAGTGTTATAAAAACCATTTTTAGTAAAATCATATTAAAACAAATAAATAAACAATTAAAATAGATAAATATTTTGCACACCTATAATACAGCTCAGACACAACATTTATAATTAATAATAATATATGTTACAGAAGGACATACAATTTTTACATGTGAACATGAAAAAACAGTTTTAATATATTACTGAACAAGTAATGTTATATAAACTAATATTAGTTATATCAAAACCAAATTATAGTCCAATATTTCCGAGTAACTATATGTTTCAATAATGTGTCATACAGCAATGAAACAACATTCACAATTTATATGTGTAATGTTCATGAATTTAATATTTAAACATGACACAAATATTTTAGTAATATATAGAGGAGAAACTAGTGTTTGAAAAGACAGCATTTGTCAAATTACATAATAAAATACTTTTACCATTCTTGGGTAAATGTTGCTCATGTGCCTGTTGAACATACTTGCAACTTTTCTTTCCCACAATCCTATGGAAACGTTAATGAAGGTTACAAAAACGTTTAGTTTTTGCTGGGCTCGCTCTGCAACCTGTCTTCCTATTACAGCATTACATTTTGACGCACACTTAACATAATGCCAAAAATCGTTGTACCAGAGAATGGTAGAAGTTTGCGATATTGACATACTGTCACGTTTTCTGTTTTGGGTTATTCTGTATGATAGGATCGGGCACTTTAGTATGACAGTTTCTTGACGTTTGGAAGCCTTAGGAGTACGGGCTGCTCAGCCCACACAATTGATTTCACTCTTCCCCTATTTAAGCCTTCCCTCCCCACATGCATACGCCCTTTCCTCATGTCCTCCCTCCCTCCCCACATACAACTTTCCCTGTCTTCTCACTCTCTGCCCACACATGCCTATTTCTCTTTTTCTCAAGGGATTAGATTCACGAAGCAGTTAGGCAAGCACTTATGAACGTGTACATCTTTTGTCAATCTTTGGCGGCTTTCTTTACAGTGATTATACAGTTAATGAGCTCCGAAACACCAGGAGGCTGTTTTTAACAATAACAATAGTTGACTAGAAAGTTTCATGCTTGTAAACTGTTTAATAAATGTAACCAAGGCCTTCAAAGATTGAGGAAAGATGTTCACGTTCGTAAGTACTTGCGTAACTGTTTCGTGAATCTGGCCCCAGAAACCGCCCACCCTTTCCCTGTCTCTTCTGTCCCTGACTACACATGCAATTCCCTGTTTTTTACACCATGTACTAAAATGCCTTGCCACCATCTCTTTCCATCTCTATATCTTTCTTTCTCCTTCTCTCTCTATCTCAATATCTTTCTTTCTCCTTGTCTAATTGTCTTTGTCTTTATCCATCAATCTCACTCTCTCTGTCCTTCTTCTCTCTCACTGTCTCTGTCCTTCTTCTCTCTCACTGTCTCTGTCCTTCTCTCACACTGTCTCTGTATCTTTCCGTCCCTTTGTCTTTGTCCATCTCTCTGTCTTTTGCCATATCTTTGCATCTTTGTCTTTGCCCATATCTTTGCATCTCTCTCCTCTCTTTCTCTGTCTCTCTTCTTATCTCTCTCTCTCTGAAGTTTTCCTCCTATCTCACCCCTTCTCTCTGCCTCTCTCTCTTTGTCTCTTTGTCTCTTTCTCCTTATTTCAATACCTCTCTATCATTTCTCTCTCTCTCTCTCTCTCTCTCTCTCTCTCTCTCTCTCTCTCTCTCTCTCTCTCTCTCTCTCTCTCTCTCTCTCTCTCTCTCTCTCTCTCTCTCTGTCTCACTCATTTTCTGTCAGTCTCTCTCCCTGTTTCTCATCTTAATTCAAAAAGGTTATTACCTAATTTGTATTCCAATAATTAAGTAATTAGTTTTAACACTTATAAAACTTAACTCCAAACCATTATTTCATAACATTAAAAAAATAAAAAATGTTTTTCCCTCATATTTTATATTAGATTTTACAAATTCTCAAAAAACGCAATACATAATAACAAAAATGATGAAAACAAAGAAGTGTCATTTTATAAAGTTTTAAAAATGAGAAAATGTTTTACAAAACATTACATATTCAGAAACAAAACATAAACATATTTTTGTTTTACAAAAATTACATATTCAGTTTTATCAGATTAAGTTTGGGTAGGTTAGGTTAGGTTTGTTTGGTTTAGTAAATTTTTCTATATTTGTATATTAATAAATAATGTTTTTAAATTCTATAAGAGAAAATGTTTGAAAAATTTAGGAGTTTAAGAAAATTCAGTTTGTTACACAATTCTGTGGTTGAATTTTGGAACCAGCAACAGGTAGACAAATGATGTAAAATATCTGCTCTCCCTGTATGTTGTTACTTACACATAACTTAACCAGCCAGTGGGACAACACTAAGATGAGCGAATCGTTATGAGGACTGGGTTTGTTTTGAAGAATTATGTATTTTTTTCCTTGTATTGTGACATTCGCCATTCTCTAAGAGCTACTTTCAAGACAGTCTCACTTTATCAGCTTTTAGCAGCAATACACAACCTTCATTTTTTGTAACAAACTCACACGACGACTTTTTACATGTACAGGAAATGAGGTGCTTCACCATATGACGATGACGATTCCCACTGCTGTCAGAGTGGACGTTGAAAACTTCAGTGGAAAACGCAAGTTTGGCGAATGGGGAAGATTCAGTGTAGCCAATGAATCCCAGCAGTAAGTGTATATAGTTACCTGTTCATCTTTCACGGCTGTTTCTACAGCTGTTTCTATTCATTACATTGGTAGAATTAGTAATCAAGTATATCAGATTAAAACTTAAGAGAGTGGGTGCATCACAGCAATGTTATCAATTCATCATGCCAGCTATTCACCTACCATTAATAATTGTTAAAATTCTTGCTTCAGCTTACATCATTGGCTCATGGAGAAAAATAATTTAATAAGCTATATTTTTGGTAAAATTAAGCAAGTAATAGTAAACATTTATCAGTGCTGTAGCATCAACATGTGAATACATTAGTAATTTTGTTGGAAAACTGGTGGCATTGCTGTGTCACAAGTCACCCGACTCTCCACCAGCTGAGTATGCCAGAGAGGTGAGCGAGGACCCACTCTCTATCCGTCAGAAACTCTCGCCGAGCAAGCGAGAGTATTCATATTCTCTCTGTCAGCAACTGTCAAAGGAGGAATGTGAGAGTAGCCCAATTCTCAACCATCAAATCCCATTTCAATGCAAATTTAACTAAGAAACTGCCGAAGGCCTCCTAGCCAATATGAATCAGCTGCTATTTATATAATCCTAAACGCATGCATATATATGAATGTGCTTGGGATTAATGTGTCTAACCTACATTTGAAAAATTCCTTCCTTCCACGTCAATTACATTGTCCAGACGTTTGTTCCATTAGTGCGAAACCAGGTTTCAAAACCCTTCTCTTTCCTAAATTTATACTAATCCAATCGATGGAAATTCTTTCGAATTCAACTTGTGTTGATATATTTAAAATCTTATATATAGCCTCCTTGTTATACATTTTCATCCATTTCTATACCTTAATCATGTTATCCCCTTACTCTTCATCCTTCTAGGAAATGTAAGTGAACTTTTTGAATCTCTCAACATAGAAAACGTTTCCTATTCTTGGGATTATTTTGAGAATCTAGTGAATCTACCTGGAGATATATAATTCTCATATATCAGTTCTATAGTACAGAGACCATATTTAAACTGTATATCAAAATGGGGGCTAAACAGTGATAAAAAAAAGTTAAGGAATAATATTTTATATCTTACTTTGCTTTTTTGAAATTTTTACCCTCTAAGAAAATTAACTTTAGCTTTCTGAAGATTTGAGCCCGCAAACATGGTCTCTTCCAGTCACACATCTTACACAACTGCACAATGATATACTATAAATGATGCAACCAGGGATTACATTGCTTATGGTGTGTCATGGTACAGTAGTCTAAGGTGTGTGGCTGGGAATACAGATGTTGCTGCTGTGAATCCAGGCATTGCTCGAACTGATTTTATCATTGATATATCATGTTAGTGGAATTTTCTTGTGTAACCTACTACGAAATTTTTTTTCAAACATTTTCTCTTATAGAATTTATCAAAACAATCCATTGGATGAATGATATGGATGCTCGGGATGGGTATGATGTCTTTGCGAGTTCGTTGTAATCTTTAGTGAGGATGGGGCCTTTTCCGGGTTTAAACTGTTACATGGTAGAGGTAAAAGAACGAATTTGAAGAAAGGAGGTAATCCACACGGTAAGTCGTCGTGTGAGTTTGTTACAAAAAATGAAGGTTGTGTATTGCTGCTAAAAGCTGATAGAGTGAGACTGTCTTGAAAGTAGCTCTTAGAGAATGGTGAATGTCACAATACAAGGAAAAAAATGCATAATTCTTCAAAAACAAACCCAGTCCTCATAACGATTCTCTCATCTTGGTGTTGTCCCACTGGCTGGTTAAGTTATGTGTAAGTAACAACATACAGGGAGAGCAGATATTTTACATCATTTGTCTACCTGTTGAACATAAGAACATAAGAACATAAGAACAAAGGCAACTGCAGAAGGCCTATTGGCCCATACGAGGCAGCTGATTCCAAAAATCAACCACAGAATTGTGTAACAAACTGAATTTTCTTAAACTCCTAATAAAACTCCCAATATTTTTCTAGTCGGCTTTTAATTATAACTGCGATAGTTCTAATCGCTTTGCCTTCTCCATGCAACTGTATGCCAGGCATAGGGAACCTGGACTGGGGTTTATGGAGCACTGGCTTCAAGACTTTGTGTCTGTCTGTTTGAGTTCTTCGTTGACTTGCTTCCATTCTGAGCTGTGGCTGAGGGCACGGTCGACATAAGCGTTAACAACACTCCTCTTGTACCTGTCCGGGCAGTCACTGTTAGCATTCAGGCACATTCCTATGTTTGTTTCCTTAGTGAAGACTGCAGTGTGGAAAACTCCGCTCCTTTCCATGACTGTTACATCTAGAAAGGGCAGCTTCCCATCCTTCTCCATCTCGTAAGTGAAACGCAACACAGAATTCTGCTCAAATGCCTCCTTCACCCACCTGAAGGGAACGTGAGCTGGGTTTAGACCGTCGTGAGACAGGTTAATTTTACCCGACTAGGTAAGTTTTAGTTTTAGGTTAGTTTTTCCCTACTGAAAAAGACGAATATCTGGCGAAAATGAACCTCATACTCTCTGACCAAACTAAATTCCAAAGAGTAACGAAGGACACTACAGCCGAACTGAAAGCAAAGGTCAACAAATTGATCGAAACTGTGAACGCCAAGAAATCTGGACTCCACCTGCCAAAGATTATTGGGGAATATAAACCTGGATATGCGTATGGAAATGTCAAGACACACAAGCCTGGAAACCCACTTCGGCCAATCATCAGCCAGATACCCACACCCACGTACAGACAGCAAAACGACTCAACGGCTTGCTGACTCCTTATGTCCCTTGCGCCTTCAGCCTGAAGTCTCCAAAGGAATTTGTTGACTTGCTGCGGGGAACACGGGCCACAGGGATAAGAGCCTCGTTGGACGTTGAGTCTCTGTTTACCAACGTACCTGTGGATGAAACAATCGGGATGATAGCCGACAGAGTGTACCGTGATCCGGCCTGTACTCCTCTTGACATACCAGAAAACAGTTCAAGGAAACTACTCCAAGCTTGTACTAAAGAGGCACCCTTCTTGAGCCCGGATGGACACATGTATAAGCAAGTAGATGGGGTCGCCATAGGTTCTCCCCTAGGTGTCCTATTTGCAAACTTCTACATGGGTACCATCGAGCAAAAAGTCTTAGTCGACATGAACTTGAAACCGGCCATATACTGCAGGTATGTTGACGACATTTTTACACAGGTACCTGATGTCAGACATCTGCAGGAGCTGAAGGAGGCATTTGAGCAGAATTCTGTGTTGCGTTTCACTTACGAGATGGAGAAGGATGGGAAGCTGCTCTTTCTAGATGTAACAGTCATGGAAAGGAGCGGAGTTTTCCACACTGCAGTCTACACTAAGGAAACAAACATAGGAATGTGCCTGAATGCCAACAGTGACTGCCCGGACAGGTACAAGAGGAGTGTTGTTAACGTTTATGTCGACCGTGCCCTCAGCCACAGCTCAGAATGGAAGCAAGTCGACGAAGAACTCTGTAGGGTAAGGCAGGTCCTAGTCAACAACGGCTTCTCCAATGGTTTCGTGGAAGACATCATAAGAAGGAAAGTGAAACGCCATGCAACCTCTGAAGAGACAACTAACACAACACCTATACCCCCTATTAGACTATTTTACAGGAACTTCTTTTCCACAGCCCATAAAACGGAGGAAAGGGCCCTGAAAGATACTGTCAGTAGAAACGTTATCCCTACAGACAAAAAATCAGAAGATACAACTGACAATTTACTATAAAACCAAAAAAAACGGCCAGCCTACTCATGAGAAACTCTCCAGAAACAAAGCAGAACGTTTTAAAAGAGGCCAACGTCGTCTATGCCTTCAAATGCCCTCTTGGGGATTGTAAGCCTCAAAAAAAAAAAAACTCAGTATATAGGCAAGACAACAACATCTCTTTCCAGGCGTTTAACGATGCATAAGCAACAGGGCTCCATTAAGGAACATATAGCCTCTTCCACAACCATCACCAGAGAAATCTTAGCAAACAACACAGAAATCATCGATAGATTCAGCGATAGCAGGCGGCTTGACGTCTGCGAGGCACTACACATCAAGAAGTCAACACCAGCAATCAACAGCCAATTAATGCACAACTATATTCTACCCACTTCAAGACTCCGCTCCAATATAGAAGCATCAAGAAATATGGGCCAATAAAAATAGGCCTTCTGCAGTAACCTACTTTTAATACCTGTTTCATTGTTTCGTGTTCTGTCTTGTGTTAAAAGTTTATTTTCACCTCATCCAAAACTATTGTAACATGTCACTTCATCACTTCCCCCAATTGTAGGTATAAAAACTCGAAAGATGCTTAAGCTCTATTCAGTTAAAGTTGTGTGTGTTTGTGTAAACTAAAGTCTTTGAAAATGTAATAAGTTTTACGAAACGCGCTCAAGTGTCGCGTCAGACTAGAAATAAAATTGAATTTTGGAGAACTGATCTTTGAATTACCATCAACAGTGAAAAGAAATGTAAGAAAGATCGAGAAAATTCGTGTTAGAATGATTAATCTTACTTTTTTGGTCATATTTAATAATATATGTCTACAGGAAAGACTGCTACCAAAATATACTATATATATATATATATGTATATATATATATATATATATATATATATATATATATATATATATATATATATATATATATATATATATATATATATATATATATATATATTATATATATGACCGAAAAAGTAAGATTAATAATTCTAACACGAATTTTCTCAATCTTTCGTACATTTCTTTTCACTGTTGGAGGTAAATCAAAAATCAATTCTCCAAAATTCATTTTTATTTCTAGTCTGACGCGACACGAGCGCGTTTCGTAAAACTTATTACATTTTCAAAGACTTTAGTTTACAAATACACAACTGAATAGAACTTACGCATCTCCGATTTTATATCTACATTTTAGTGAGGTGGGGTGAGGTGGCATTAATAGGGTATTAATTTCATCAACACAAGACAGAACAAGAGGTGGCATTAATAGGGTATTAATTTC